ACATGAGCCTTCGTCCAAACTCCTAGTATCCCCCTTTATAACCCCTAGTCATGAACCGCTAAGCAGTGGTCCAGTGTTCCCACCTTCCGAACAATGTCGTCTCGAACCCTACACCCGACACCCTGCTTAGAGGCCCATGGGACTTAGTAATCACTTCTCAAGGGGCTTACAACCCTACTTATAATCCCCCTAAATAGGTTTATGGGGGTTACCCCAGTTGTAAGTAGGGTTATAATGGGTAGTTACTAAGTCCCATAGGCCTCCAAGTAGGGTTTAGGGTTCCTCAACTTCAACGGAGCTAGAGGAGCCTTTGAAGGACGAGGAAATGAAGCCTGCCGAGGCCAGCGGGGACTTCCTGAAGCTTGCCTACCCTAAGCCCCATTAAATCCCAAAACCTCAAGCCCTAAATCCCTCAACCCTGAACCTTAATTCCTAATTTCCTAAACCCTCAACCCTAAACCCTGAAGCCCTAAATCCCTAAACCCTAAACCCGAAATCCCAAAACCTAAAGCCTTAAAACAGTTAACCCTGAGTCCCTGATTGGAGTTTAGATTTGCTAGTAGAACCTGTAGGCCATCTAGTCCCCCTTAAGTAGGTAGAATATGGGGTTTAGGTATTAGGGTTTTCGGCTTATAGGCCCCCTTAAGTAGATAGAATATGGGGTAAAGGGGACTCTTATTAGAATATTCCCAAAGCCATATTCCCTAAACCCTAAACCCAATTTTGGTGCACCGCAAGAACCTCGAGCTTCTAGAAACTAACGTCTATAGGCTAGGGCCCTACGGTGTGGGGTTTAAGGTTTATCATAGCTTACCTGAACCCCAAATAAAAGTAGGTAAACTAATAGCTCAACATCTCTAAAAAACAGCCCAAAGGCAATTATTCTACATATTTTCGGGTGTTCAGGTAAGGTTTAGAGAGATGAGGGTCTAGAGAAGGTCAGGGGACCCCTCTTCGGGATCGTGCTGCGTGGCGTGGCTGTGGAGCAGATTTTGGTAGCAGGTTGCTTCTTGGTCTCATAGTTCATGTAACTGTTGCTGCGACGATGGCATTAGCGGTATACTCTTACATCTGTTCTTTTTGTTATAGTTCCCCTTAAGTAGAGAGAATATGGGGTATATGGGGATCTGAACATAATATGCCCAAAGCCATCTTCTATCTACTCAAAGGGGGACTATATCCTGTACTACTGCTACTATTGTATTTGTTTTTCCCTCTGCGATTCATCACTAGCATCCCTGTTGTTTGAGGCCCTAAACCCTAGACCCTAAACCCTAAACCCAAGCTTCGAGTTCGGCTTTAACATAGTGCTCGTTGGCAACCCAGGGTTCACGGATTACTACATAGTTCAAGGACGTGTGAGTCTAAACCCCAAGCCCAGCATGCCACAGACTTACTAAGGACGCGCGAAGAGTGGTTGAAGGCCCTCAGCCCTGTAGTCCCCCTTAAGTAGATACTATATGGCTTTGGGTACATTTTGTTCAGATCCCCATATACCCCACATTCTATCTGCTGAAGGGGTACTATAAACCTTTTTGGGTTCCAGTTGCTTTTGGGGTTGAGGGTTCGCGGCGCTCGATTTCCGCTTTGTTCCTCCAGTATCCGCAGAATGAAAAGCTTCGTCCCCTCATGACCAACCTAAAACCAAAGCGCTTAACTTTGCTACATTCTCAGCAGGGCCGCCCTAGGGCGTTTTGCAGGACGGAGCGTACTCTTCAATCCTGAATCGAACGCCGAAACCTCAAACTCTGTATATATATATATACACACATATATACAGATATACATATATATATATATATATCATCAATATATATATATATGTATAGAGAGAGAGAGAGAGATATATATATATATGTACATATATAGATACGCATATCCTAGACCTCTTACCTTAAACGCGAAAAGTCCTAGACTATTTGCCTTAAACTACACATCCTGAATCCCAAGCCGGGCAACCATAGAACACCAAAGACCAATGCCCTCCCTAAGACACTGAACCCTAAACCCTGAACCCTAAACCCTAAACCCTGAACCATATAAACCCTAAACCCTGAAACCTAAACCCTGAACCCTAAACCCTGAACCCTAAACCCTAAACCCTGAACCATATAAACCCTAAACCCTCAACCCTAAACCATAGAACTCCTAAAGCCAATGCCCTCCCCCAAACCCTTGGAGGAAGAGGATGAACCGGATCAGCCGATGACGGATCCCGCACAGGAGAGTTTAGGCTTTAGGGATTAGGGTTTAGGGTTTTGGGGTTTAGGGTTTAGGGGTTTAGGGGTTGAGGACCTATCAAACGTGACACGCATTCCCCACAAAACTCCCATGAAGGATCATAAAGGATCATACTCTTGCCTTCTGCTCTTGGCGGAGTTCCGCTAGATTATTCTATGCAACCCTAAACTGCAGGCTTCGTGAGGTAGGGGTTGCTCAGTTTAGGGATCCAAAGGGCCCAAAGTAGGTAATATTTACAGACTTTAGGGCCCAACGTAGGTATTATTTGGATCCCTAGGGTTAGTTTAAGGTTGAGGGTTTAGGGTTCACGGCGTTTAGGGTTCAATGTTGTTGGTAACTCCAGGACTCCAAGTCGTTCGAAGCAGGTGCTAAAGACGTCTATAGGCCCAAAGCCTCGGGTATCTGTAGGGTTCAGGGTTTAGGGTTTAGGGTTTACGGGTGGTTATAGTGCCGGTCACCCGAGGAGTATAGGGTTTAGGGTTGAGTGATGCAGAACTCAAGCGCAAGATGCTAGCAGTCGCACCAATGCTGAAGGGCAGAGCTTGACATGGTTTGGTATAGGATCTTGGTCACTGTAACCGCAAAATACGATGACGATAGGAGTCAGGCTGATCTCGGGGGCTGTTCAAAAGTTGAGTATTTCGTTAGAATAGGTATAGACGCGGTTGATACTGAAGGACCTGCATGACCTTGATATACTAAATTCCCAGAATTCCCCAGGTACAGCAGGCTTTGGGGTCCTGAGTTCTCTATAAAAGTAACTTATATACAAACAGGGAAGCTTTTCAGTCCTAGGTTTCTGGGGATAGGCTTAAACCTTAAACCCTGAACTCTAAGGTACCTAGCACCATGCAAGGTAGCAGTACTCGCAATGGCGACAATGCCTTGACGAAAAGGATAGTCCAATTCAGCAGCCCATACACCCTGGCCGATGTGGTAGTTTAGGCTTAGGTTCCTTTTTGGTTTGTTGTTGCTTTTCGGTATTGATTATACGAGCTACCGTCACCCTTGACAGTGGACCTAGGGGTCCTCTTCTAGGTTAGTATAGTCCTTAATATGAAGCTTAACCCCGAGCTCGTCAAGCAACATCCCAAACATCACCCTTCCCTAAACAAAGATAGCAGCTGATATGGTGCACTTTTCAACAGATAGTGGTCTTTGTAAGACCCTTTTCAAGCTTCCGTGTTAGTTTGGAGGAGTATAGGCCCCGAGCCCCTCAACGCCCCAGAAACTTTCAGACTTTTCTTGCTGGTGCTGCAGGGGGAGTGGGAGAGTCAACGTACGGACTATCACAGGGGCATACATGGGAATTATATAGGTGTTGTCCTAATCTCCCGCCGGTTACGTAGGGTATTGAATAGGAGAGTACAATAGGGAATTTATTGTTGTTAATGGGAATACTAGGAGATTAGACTATAGCTCGTGTAGAGATGAGCGTTGTCGACGAAGGTCAGAAGGTCCTGCATTTCAGACATCATTTTCCATCTTGTTTCCATGTGATTTCCTATGATTATACCCTCAGCCCTTTAACCCTAAGCTCTAAAGCCCTAAACCCTAAAGTCCTTAACCCCTAACCCCAAAGCCCTAAACCCTAAACCCCAAACCCTGAAGAGCTAACCCTAAATCCTTAACCCTAAGTCTCCAAAGTGTGCTTATCAGGACAAGCCACCGGTTGCCGAGCTCTCAGAGGCCCTGGGTACCCTCCCTGCCGACGGGGGTGAGTGCCTTAGGTTTTAAGGTTTCGGCTTTAGGGTTTAGGATTCAGGGCTAAAGATTTTTGGGTCATAGGGGTTTGAGGTTTTGAGTTAGGATTTAGGGTTTCGGAAGTTTACGGTGTAGGATGTAGGATTTCGGGTTCAGGGTCTAAGGTGGTCCGAGGTTGGGAGTACGGGCCCCTAACATGGGCCTTTAGCCTAATGAAGAGGGTTCCAGGGCTCTGGGGGTGTATACAAGGCTAGGGTTGAGGGTTTAGGGTTGAGGGTTTAGGTTTAAGGTTAAGAGTTTATGGTTTAGGGTTTAGGATTTAGGGTTGGGATTTGGCATTTAGAGGCCCCAGGATTAAAAGCCCATACTGTGGACCATGGTCTTGAACCTGAGATTGAGTGTTTGGGGCTTTTGGTCTCTTGCAGCTCGTGGTTACCCCACTCTCCCTGCAGAACAGTACCATTCCCAGATTAAGAACCTTATAGTCCTTACTACGTTGTTCCCTAAACCCGAAACCCTAAACCCAAAGCCCTGGGGGCCTGTAGGGAATCCCTCACTGATACCCCCAGCCCTGAACCCCAAACCTCCAGCCCCAAACCCTAAGCCCTAAACCCCACCCTCCTTGAACCCTAGACCCTCAACCCTAATCCCTAAATCCTGAACCCTAAACTCTAAACCCCTAGATCCTTTAGGGCAGAAAGCTTCGGTTGGTTGTGGAAAGTTTCCCTTTCCAGCTTGGGTATTCTTGTAGTACACCGTGCCCCCGACCCGTATTCAACATACTTGGGTGACTCGGGCTCCTGTAATTCATTAAGTAGCCTATAGGGGGGGCCCTGCAAGATTCAGGCGCCCTAAACCCTAAACCCCAAACCCTAAGACCCTGAACCTCTGAAATTCCCAATCCAGCGCAAGGTGATGTTCTCCTTTGGGTCGCGGTCACTGCTACCAAAGTAGGATTGTTTACTCAGCCCCACAAAGAAGCATTTTCGTATATGTACGCGCAACCCTTCCCAGACAAAACATGGAAGCCCATGCAGTCCCCTTTTGAAACCCTTAACCCTAAACCCTCAAAAGGACAGTAGTCTTTGTAAGATCCTTTTGGGGCTTTCTCATTCGTCTGGCCTAGGGCCGGGGGCTTCTGCAGGAGAGCGAGAGGCAGTGATTGAGACCAACAATTTCGCAATATGCTGAAGCGGGTCAGATATCGCAAGCTGAATGAGACTCCATACCTGAAGCCTTAATCTTGGGGTACTTGCGCCCTGCCGAATGCCGGTCGACCCTCGAAGTATCCCGATCTAACACAGCTGGATGAATGGCTGCTTCAGCCAAAGCCGCGATTCCAAGAAGGAGAAGTGGGTCGAATCAAGAAGGCTCTTAGGCCCTATTTCGAATTCTTGGAGGGGCACAGAGTCGCACGGAGTGCCGATCACAATCGGCGGACTTGGCTCCACGACGGGACTAGCTCTAAACACTAAACCCTAAACCCGACTCCCAAACCCTAAACCTTAAATCCCAAACCCTAAACCCTAAACTCCAAAGCCTTATTTCTCCTTCAACGCAACGATCACACGCGTGCGAGGTTGACTGAGTGACATGAAGACAAAGGTTCCCCCTCTATTAATCCCCCCCTTCCCCTTCGCCTATAATTTAAAACCACCGCCCCAGAGTTCAGGGTTTTGGGTACCCTTAGGGTTTTTAGGGTATCTGGTACCCTTAGGGTTTTGGGGTTTTGGGTACCCTTAGGGTTTTAGGGTTTAAGGGATTTGGGGGGGTTCAGGGGGTTCAGGGTTTAGGGTTTAGGGTAGGAAACCCTAAGCCATAAAGCCCCAAACCCTAAAACATTAAACTCTGAACCCTAAACCCTTAACCTGGACAGGAAGAGATGAAGGTCATCTTCCGGACTTCGGCGGCTTGCCATTGGTTTTAGGGTCTTAGGGCTTACAACCCAAAGGTAAGTAAAATGATAGCCGAAAGCCCCTAAAAGTAGCCCAATAAGGCCATTCTTCTACTTACTTTTGGGGTTCGGGTAGAGTATGCGATAGGTCCTGTCATGTTTTGAGGCCTTCCTCTTTAGGGAGGGATCCTTGAGGAGTCACGTGGTAGCCAGAAGTGGGTTTAGCGTTTTAGGGCTTAGGAGATCCGTATCTCGGGAAATAGCCTAACCCTAAACTCTAAACCCTAGGTTAGGAATTCAGCGTTTAGGTCAGGCCATTCACAGGCAGACTTTTCATTGTTGGAGAAAGTGTAGAGACATCTTTTTTGCTTAAGAGAAGTCAGCTGCTGGGTTATGAAATTTCAGGGTTTTAGTGTTTAGGGTTCAGGGTTTGGGTTACCGTGTTTTGGGTGTTTAGGGTTTAGTGTTTGGGCTTTAGGGTGTTGCAGGCTTACATGTTGGGCCAGACTTGCAAGCAGCAACCCTAATCTCGGCGGCAAATACGTTAAACTTTCCGTGCAAGTCAATTTCTAGCATTTGTAGCAAGAGGGCTTTGGCAACCCCAGCCACCGTAGCCAGGCACCTAAACCAACCATGTGAAAGTCACATGGTTCTTTTCGGGGGGTTGGGGTAATCGAAATACCCTCATTGATCTAGGCAAGCACGCAGGTTGAGCAAAAACTGTGTAGCCGGACTTGCATCACAGTAATGAGAATAGTACCCCACACGCAACACAGCAATGCGGGCTTCTAGGTCCCAAATACCAAAACCTGAGCAGTTTGCGATGCCTGGGCCCTTGGGTTTAGCTTCTTGGAAAGAGGACACCCAACCACAAGTAACTCTTTGCATTCGGTTCTTTTTCACCGGTGGCAATACTTCTACTCAACTTGAGCCATCTTCGTGACTGAGGACACCCCAGACGTGTGGTGGCCTCAGCAGGGTTCAGGGGCTAGGGCTTCACACATCTCAGAAATACAAGTTAAGTAGCACGTGGGCCCGTTCAACCGTTGGCTTCAGAGTTCGGCAGTACAAAGTGGGTATGTCAGGATATTGTGCACACATGTTATGGTTTCCTGTGCCCAAACCACTGAAATCATAGAATGTGCAGCAATTGTTCCCCCATAAGCCACATAGAGCCATGTTTACAGAATGCACGCCTAACCCCCCTTTTAAGTATGACAATAAAGTGCTCCCTTATAACCCTTGTATAAGTACAGTGCACCACATTATGCTTTGTAGGCTCCTACATCATGTAAGCTCTAAATCAACGTATCTCCCCCCTGCATCACGGTTCTTTAGATGCCTACATTCACCCTAAACCTTAAACCCTAAACCGTAGACCTTAAACCCTAAACCCTAAACCTTAAACTCTAAAACCTAAACCTTAAGCCTTAAACTTTAAACCCAAGATGCTAAGCCCTAAGCCCTATAAACACTAAACCCTAGTGACCGTCCGAAGCCCCAACCTGAGTTACCGCTCAGTGCTGTTTGTAAGGGTCTAGGGCTGGGGATATGATTTGTAATTCTTTTTAACCCTCTGTACTACTTTGTAATACGAAGCCTAAGAAGCGATAGTTACCACAAGTTCGACTTACACCTACTGGCTGCTGCTGCCAATGCTGCTAGTGTTTCGAGCTATTACCGTTGCCAGCACCACTGCCATCACCGGGACCAAAGGTGTTTTTCGCCACGATCTTCACAAGAAACATGTCAACGGGGTGTTTAGACTCGTAGGAATTTAGGGTAGACACCCTAAACTAAACGTTACACAATCCCTTGAACCCCAAACCTTAACCTTCAGCCCTACAATCTAAGCCAGGAATCCCTGGACCTTGATCCCAACTATGTTTGACCTTTCGGAGTGTTAGTAATCCTGAACTGAAGATTGCATTGCGAGCTCCGAAGTACGAATTCCTTAACCATGTAGGGTTTAGGGACTGCTCAGAACAGCTACACTTCCATGTCCTAAATCCCGAGACCTGCACCCCTAAACTCTAAATCTCAGGCCCCGAAACCGCCCCAAAAACACCACAAAAAAACCTTGAACCCCAAACCTCAACCGCCCCAAAGTCCCAAATTCCCAGACCCTAAAAGTCCAAGTGCCCATTTCCAAAAGATGTAAAATCATGACCTTTTGGGCTATGTTTAGGTATTTTGGGCTATTAGTTTACCTGCTTTTGGAGTTCAGGTAATTGCTAGACACTGTTGTAGAGGCTTTGCTCTCCGGGTCCTGAATCCCAAAACTGTTCAGTCCCAAGCCCGCCAAGATCACCAAACCTACTGGTCTTTCAGTAGGGAATGCGGGAATATATCATAGTATAGGGATGATATAGGGATTATATTCCCTTATTCCCTAAGACGAACCAGCAAGCAACCTAAGAAGTTGAAACCGTTTCAGGTGCGACTGGGTAACCCTAAACCCTAAACACTTGCCCAGGTGTGACTGGGTTCTTGCCGCCTAAGCCCAAAACCCTAAACCCTTGCCCAGGTGCGACTGGGTTCTTGCCAAGAGCCTCAATGACCTAACGCTGCCGGACAAGTCGGAGGGCTTCGACACTGCCCGGGTCTTGGTCTTCCCGAGGTTTTTTTGGGGCTTAGCCCTAAGGGTCCATGTACCCAATAACTGGGTACTTGGGATTTGCGTAATAGTAATTGTAGTACAGGTTTGGGGTAAGTACATGATTACTGGGTACTTGGCGTAAACCCTGCCTAAACTCTGAAATGCAAAGTTTCAGGTGCAGAGCCTTGGATTCAGGATTCATAGGGCTTACGGTTCAGGATTTGCCGTTTAGAGTAGGCAGGTTTGCTGAATGTGGTGGTGTGCTTTTTATCTCAGCAGGCCCTGCAGTCGCACCTCTTCCAGAACGGCTGAGAGATCCCAATTTTCCTACAATATGTGGGTGTTTCCTAAAAGTAGAGAGGTACCATGGGGGTCTATATTGCGGTACCCTCATTTGGGGGAACTACCAGGTACCATGTGTCTGTTTCTCAAAATGTCCCCTAGGGGGTCCCAAAAAGCTTTCAATCACTTCATAAGCCATACTAAGCCTTAAACCTAAGCCCTGAGCCCTAAACTCCCAAACCGAGAGGAAGAGCTGTAAGAGCAACACTAAGCCCTAAAACCCTAAGCCTTGGACTCTTCTTTATGTTTTTCAGGGCAAGCACTACGCCAAATTTGCGGGGCCCAGCCCCAGCCCCATCACGGAGCGGTGCTACAAGCGCGGGTTTAGAGGTTTAGAGTTTGGCTACCTGAAGGTTCATGGGACTTAATAACAACCTAGCTGCTTATAACAGGGCTGATAACTTACTTCTAATCCCCCTAACTGGACTTAGGTAGATCACTCCATTTCCAAGCAAGGTTATAAGCCCCAGTTATAAGCCAAGCTATAAGTAGTTACTATAACCCTAAGGGTCCAAGTACCCAATAATTAGGTACTTTGGATTTTGGTAATAGTAATTGTAGTGCAGGTTTTGGGTAAGTATATGATTAATGGGTACTTGGACCCTTTGGGTAAGTCCCATGAACCTTCAAGTAGCCACATGCCCCTCTCAAGAAGCGTTTTCAATGCCAAACTCACGACCACGCCCGCTGCCGCTGACCGCACTTGGAAGATTGAAGCCCGGTGGTGCGCCGATGATGTATCCGGCAAGACCCCCCTCCAAAAGTCTAGTCGAGTATCACCCCTGCCCTGTTCACGTGGGTATCCTGCAAGCGTTAGGGTTCAGGGTTTAGGGGGCAACCGCCATGTCATGGAACTCTGCGAAACCTCAGTAAGCCCTGATCCCTAGTCCCCAAATCTAGACCGCGGGGCTCTAATTCTAAGATTCTGCCTACTTGAGGCCTTAAAGTCTATGAATTCTACAGATTTGGGGCGAATGGAGCCCCTTTGTCAACCCTAAACCCTGAACCCCAAACTCTAAACCTTCATCCCTAAACCTGAGACTCCAAATTCAGGTCACCTACAGCTGGTCCTCTCGAGGCAAGGCAGAGACATACTTCAAGGCAGGGCGCTTTTGGGAGGGGCTTAGTCCTAGTGTAAACCCTGAACTCTGAACCCTGCACCGCTTAGCATCGCCCTGGACGAGGTGTATAGGGTGGTGCAACATTTCCTGCATCTGTAAGGTTTAGGGCAGTTCAGGGTCTAGTAGGGCTTTCAAAAAAACGCCCCTAAATATCAGTTGGGGGCAGGATAGTGATATTGTGGTTATGGAGTTTGAAAGTATAGCTATGTAACTAGCAGTCTTCACCCTGTACTCCCAACCCCAAGATCGCGCAAATCTAAATTGGGGTTGTGGGATTCCGGGTGAGGGTTTGGGCCAAGGGTTCAGGTATTAGGCATTGGGCTTGAGGAGTAGGGTTTGGTTTAGGGATTAGGGTTTAGGGATTAGGGTTTAGGGCTTCGGGTTTAGGGTTTAGGCTTTGGTTTCAGCAGAGTATGGACATGGAGTCACCGGGACTATGCGGGACTCATGAGGTTCCAAGGATTATACCCTAAACCTATAGGGCTCTATAGGGGCCTGCAAGATAATCTCTAGTTTTTGGGTACCCTAAACCCTAAACCCTAAATAACAACCGAACAAATTCTTTAGTGGGATTCTGAGGCCGGCTTTCAAACCCTAAGCCACAACCTGCTTGGAATTTCAAAGCTCGCCCCGAAGTGCCTTTGACCTTCAGTGGATCCCCGCAACTCATAAGCCCTACCTGGGCCCTAAGGGGTTTGGAGGTTTAGGGTTTAGGGGTTTAGGGTTTAGGATCTACCTGGACCCCAGAAGTATGTAAAATAATGGCCTTTATGGCTATTATTAGGGGTTTAGGGCTATTGTTTTACATACTTTTGGGGTTAAGGTAAGGTTTATCCCATTATACCATACCTGGGCCCCTAAAGTAAGTAAAAGCAACAGGCCACAAGGCCATTGTTTTGCATACTATTGGGGTTCAGGTAGGGATCCAAATAGCCCAATGCAGGTCATATTTGCAGACTCTAGGGCCCGAGGTAAGGATTATTTATATACGTGGATCCCTAAGAAGAGGGTTCAGGTTTAAAACCGACGAAGTTTATATATATCTAGAAAAAAAAAATATATATATATATGCCCTAAACACGTCCACTTTGCCATCTGAAACCCTGACCCCATACCCAAATGGCTCGGGCCTAGAATGCTGAGCTACCCACAAACTAAGATGAACCCCAAATGAGGTCCCAAACTCAATTACATTGGTCATTCTAGGTTTTCCGGCCCTGAACTCACTAAGGCCTTAAACCTTCACCCACAGCCCTTAATTAATCCTAAATCCCATACATCCCCATAGATCCTTCTGTGTCACCCAGCAACCCTCCTAAACCCTAAACCTTACACCACGTGAAACCTCACAGGAGTGGAAGCTTATGAAGAAGTTGACAACTCGTGTAGACGACCTGGCAGTTGGCGAGTGGCCGCGTCCTTAGAAATGCCAGGAAGGCCTGCAAAGAATAGGGTTTAGGGTTTAGAGTTTAGGGTTTGGGGTTTAGGGTTTAGGATTTAGGGCATAATATGGTTCATGGACAAAGGCATGCGTGACGTTAAGTATACCATGAGAGCATAATTCTGCAGGGCTTATGTTGAAAGGTCATGCAAGATTTGTCCACCAACAGTAATACGATCAGTATAAGGTAAAAAGTAGTGATAAGAGTTCTAGTAACAGGAATAGAAGCAGACGTAGAAGTATAGGGGGGTCCAGGAGCGCCTGAAAGCCGCAAATAAACTAGGTACCCCAGTAGTACCCTTTTGCCCTTTTTATTTGGGGGGTCTCCTTATTAAAGCTGAACAGTAGGAAAAAGGTTACCCTCATTATTAATGGGTTACTGGGGAATCTAATCAAGTTGTTTAGCCCTGAAAGCCTGCAGGGTGAAAAAACTGTGCTCCTACTGTGTTCGTCGTACCTACTTTACGTATTCATGTCCGTAAATGGGGGTTTGGGAAAGGTTTCCGTACCCTTTTGGGGATTTTCCTAATGACGGCTATAGTATTTAGGATTCTACATTTGGTACCCCTATTTTGGGAAAATACCAAATAGTATCTGTTTTGGGCTGTTTGGAATCCTAGGGAAGAGAAAGGTTTCTCTCCGGATCTATTTCCTTGCGAGCCCTGGCATGTCGCAGACGACCGTGCAAAGCCAGCAGCCACTCATAGTCTTCCACATAGCCCAGAACAGTTTAGGGTCTACTTGGAGGTCCGTTGTACTTATAACCTACTTAGTAACTGTAGTTATAATCCAAGTATATCTAGGGTAACTCTGGTTGTGGGACTTATAATTAGGTTATAACTACAGTTACTAAGTAGTTTATCCTCAGCGTCCCGAGGGAAACCATAAACAATCGCCGGCTGAAACCCCTAAACGCTAAACCCACGAACCTCAACCCTATTTCCACCCCCCAAATTCAGGAACTCTAAGCGCTATAAGCTCTAAGTAAGCCTCACACCCTAAACCCTCAACCTTGGATACTGCCTTCACTTATGCCCTGAGTATTGCCCTTACTATACATTGCATGGGTGCAGGGCAGTACCCAACCCCTCGCGAAGCTTGGCTCTCTTCAGAGCGCTGTCAAAGGAGCCGCCCCAAACTCTAAAGGGACTTGACTGAGAGCCCCAAAAAGGGAAACCCCAAGGATATAGCAGGAATATAATGGAATATAAGGACCCTGGTAGGTATATTCCCATTATATTGCTACCATATTCTTGGGGTCCCCTTTTTGGGGTTCCTAGTAGAGTCCCTTTAAACTCCAAACGCTAAACCCTAACCCCCAGACCCTAAACTCTAAATATGTCACCCACCTTTGTTGCCCTAAGGTTTGGGTTTTCGGGGGTCTCCTTTCAGGGCGAAGGTTCTCAACCCTCTGATGTTTGTTTAGCATCCTAAGGTTCAACACGCGGTTGAACTCCTGGAAGGCGGACTTGCTTGCGTAAGATGTTCCTAAACCCTAAACCCTAAACCCTAAAGGGTTTAGGGACTGGGATTTAGGATACCGGCTTTAGAGCGTAGATTTGTAGTTTTTTGGAGATGATATATGGACCCTGCATAGGGGTTTCAGGGATTTGTATGTATTGTATATATATATATATCCATGTATACCTAGGGTTTTTTTGAGTTTAGAGGTTCGGGCTTAGTGCTCGTGGCCCTCTAGTTTAGGGCTTAGGGCTTGGTTTTAGGGTTCATGGCTTAGGGCTTAGGGTTAGGGGACTTGGAGGGGCCTGTTACCTAGTCGCCTAGGTAAGTTCGCAACAGTGTTTTGTAAGTAGGTCTTTAATGGCAACGCCCTCCTAGTCAGTGCTACAAGCGGGGACTAAGGGTTCCACGCAGGGATATTGGTCATGAGTAGCTATCTACCTATATAGTTGTATGTATATATGTATATCATTGCAGGGACTAATAATCCTGCTTTGTAATTCTGCTTCGCATGCGCGGGTTTCTTCGAGGGCAAGACTCGGTTCTAGATCTGGTGACCACAGCAACCTGACTTTAGCGATTCTTAGAAAAGGCGTTCAGCTCATGTAGGGCGTAGGGCGTAAATTTGGATTTGTTGTGTCAGGCTGGAGGGAATCAGGGAGCGGATAGTATTCCTTAGGTGGACCCCCCACCCAGTAATAGAGATTATAAGAGATAATAAAGATTGTATTAGGGTCCTAATCTGTTCCTATTATACCACTATTACAGGGTGTTGGGTCCTCCTAAAGTATTCCTAGCTTACTGTACGCTTCTAGGTTAGGTCTTGAGTTTTCAGGCTGCAAACATACCCTAAGGGTCCAAGGACCCAAGTAATAGGGTTTTAGGGCCCAAATACCATAAATGTTATAGTATTTGGGCTCTAAAACCCTGTTTTTTGGGGTCCTTGGACCCAT